GCCCAAACAGTGAAATTCGTGGGAGTAACTTGGGCAGGAGCCACCTGTGACATTCTGCAGGCAACCAAGAATAAGTTGTTGTCGCTCCTTACCCACAAGGCTAAGCAGGCAGCCCAATGTTTGGTTGGTTTATTTCGATTTTGGAGAATGCATATTCACATCTGGAAATACTGCTGGTCCCCACCCATAAAACCACTCAGAAGAAAACTGTGTTTGTAATGGGGGCTAGAGCAACAGCAGGCTATATCTGAAATATGGAACGGTCTCACTCTCCCTGTCTTTAGGCCCTTATGGTACACATTGAGACATAATTTTGGAGGTGTCTGCCACATGTGCTTATGCAGACTACAGGTTATGGCAAAAACCTGAGAATGCCACCCTATGGTAACCACTGAGATTCTGGTCTAGAACGTTTCCAGATGCCGCAGCACGATACATGCCATTTGAAAGGCAAAGCAATTACTCGCCTGCTACTGGGCATTGATTGAGACTGCCTCAGTGACAGAAGGACATAAAATCATCACGAGACCTGAAAATCCTATGTCTTGGGTGATGTCAGAAAAAACACTCTAATAAGGAAGGCAGTGCCCAAAATAGTTCCATAATAAAATGGAAAGGGTTCATACAAGAAGCTACTGGGGGAATGCAGTGAGGCACCCACTGTATCCATGAGCAAGTAGCCTCTTTTCCCATAGGTTCTACACTGGCACCACCTGAGAAGCTTCCAGAGCCCATTGCTACAAGGACAGTGCCCACTGAACAACTTTCTGCTGACTGGCAGAAGGCTACTTCGCTCATGGATGACAATTTCAGGGTACATGGACATGGGATGTGGAACGCTGCTGCATTAAGACCAGCAGATGGAAAGACTCTGACTGAAGAAGGTAAGAACAGGTCAGCCTAATGGGCTGAACAGCATGCTGTCTTCCTAGCCATGATGGAAGAATTGCACAATGGTGACAGCCTATATGTTTGGGTTTTTACCAATTTATGGGCAGTGGCTAATGGCCTGACTATATGGTCAGGCAAATGAGCGATGGAAAATTGGACTATTAAGCGGACACTAGTGTGTGGCATGGGCCTATGGAAAGCACTGTGGGAATTTAGAGGGTGCATTAGAGTAGAACATGCTGATGCCTACCTGAAGAACCATCTTTCTAGATCAAAAGGCAATTGGAATCAGCAAGTGGACCTGTTAGTACGCCCACTCAAGGTGGCCAATTGGGTCCATGAAATGAGCAGACAAGCGGATGCTGCAGCAGTGCAGAGACAGGTTACATCTATACACATCCCCCTTGCACCCTCTGAGGCACAAAATGCCAGTAAGGACTGTTCTGTCTGACAGCAAGAAAGACAGAGGTTACAGATGGCTATGTGGCAGATTTCCTGGGAGGGATGCCCTGCACATAGCCGACAAGTTCATTACATTGGACCGATGATGCTGGTGGCACCAGGTGGCTACAAATGGGTCCTCACAGGAACAGATACTTACTCTGGATTGGCTTTGTATATTCTGTGACGGATGCAAATGCCAAAAACACCATCAAGGGGCTGGAACAAAAGATTCTATACCAATTTGGGCCACCAAGTTATATTTCATCAGACCAAGGAACATACTTTGCAGCCCACAGGGTGCAGCAATGGGCCAAGAAACATCATATTAAATAGAATTACTATGTTGCATACCACTCTCAAAGTAATGGTTTGATAGATAATTGGAATGGGGGAAGATAAAGGCTGATACCTGAGTAACCTCACCCTGAGGACTCTTTGCCTTGTTGATTGTTAATTTTTCAAATCCACCAGGCGCTCCTTGGAAACCCTATGGGGCAGTTCTGCTCTGTCCTATAGGGTCACTATGAGTCGGTATCAACTCGACGGCAATGGGTTTGGGTTCGTTTTTTTTTTTTTTTGGTTTTGGACTGGTAAAATGATTGGGAGGGGGAAGTTAACCTTCAAGTATGAAAGGACAAATGGCTAGAAGAGTCAGGGGTGGTCTGTGGTGCAATGAAGTACTTAATATGGCCCTTCTATCCATAGTCTTCATGACTCCCACACAATGATTGGGTGGGATCACGCAAATAAGATGTATGGAACCCTAAGGTATGGTGGTTGGTGCTGTTTGTCAGCTTGGCTAGCCCATGATTCCCAGTAATGTGTGGCTGTCTTCCATTTTTGTGATCTGATGTAATTATCCTCCATTTTACGTTGTAAGTCCTAACCTCTACATGTTAATGAGGCAGGATTAGTGTGGGGTGTATCTTGAGTCACAGCCTTGCAGGAGGGCATGACTCAAGTCCTACCCTTACTCAAGTCACACCCTTCCCTGGGGTGTGGCCTGCAACCATGTATATATGTTGGTGCTCTGGTGAGGTGCTCTCTCTCTGCATCTGGCTCGTCATTGTCTAACCTCCAGTTCTTGGGACTTGAAGCAGTGGCCTGCCGTCTGACCTGCCAATTCTGGGATTCGCTAGCTTCCACAACCCTGTGGGCCAGTAGCCTATCGTCTAACCTGATTCATCGGCTTCTGCAGCCTGTGAGCCAGCAGCCAGTCATCTGGCCTGCTGATTTGGGTTCATGCAGCCTTGTGAGTCAGGAGAAGCCTACACCTACCCATGGATTTGGGACTTGCCAGCCTCCACAACCACATGAGCCATTTCCTTGCTACAGTTCATGAGTTCTGTGAGATGTTGCAGAGAATTACAGAACCCAAAGATAGGAAAGAGAGTACTGTGGGGAGGAGTAGTAGTTCATGTTAGAGATAACAGAGTGGTACAGCAATCTGGAAAAGCTGGACATTTGGGACATCTTTAACCCCCACCTCATAGGAACCAGCTTTGTGCTAATCCTTATAAATCATTAATTTAGGGTGTGAGGATGTAATATGACTTCCTTTAGACAGAATGGTCTAGGAAGCCTCTGAGGTGACATTTTAGCTGAGAAGTAACAGTTAGCCATGCAGAGAGAAACATGCATGTATGTATATGTGTGTGTGTGTAAAAATGAATGGAGGATAGGAGGGGGGAATTTAAGGCAGTAGGGAAAGAGCTTGGCAGTATCTAGAAGCAAAGACTAACAATGTAGCAAGAAGTACAGAAAGGCAGGGAGAGAGTACCATGAGATAATGCTGGAAAGACAGGTAGGGGCTGGATCATGCTAAGGACAGTTTGGAAACTTGGAATTTATTCTAAATAAGAAGCTGTTGAAGAGTTCCAAGTGTAAAATGAAGATATTTCATGAAACAAAGTATTCAAATGATGTTTAAAAAGCAGAGTGGGTAGCCTGATGAAATCTCCTTATGTTATCATACATAAGTACAACTTCCTGAAGACACTGTCACCCTATAGTTTGGCTGGGGAAGAATAGAAAATCAAGTCAAATAAAGAATGGTTGAAGAAATCAGGTATATTCAGACAGAAGATAAGGGATGATACACAAAAATATGACTCCAGAATGTAAACAAAAGATAAATTAAAGGGAGACTAATTGGGACTCTGTAATACAAGAACGAACTTTTGAATAACTAGAACTATTTACAAAGCTGAAACTGGCTTTTGTCAGGGGCAAAAAAAAAAAAAAACAGTTACGCTAAAGACCACACAACTATTGCTAAAATGTAATAAAAAAGATTTAAACATATGAACTGTAGGAATGAACTTGTTGGCCCTTTTTAAGCTGAAGATTCTAGAGTTCCTACGTATTCAACTGGAAATAACACTTTAAGAAATGAGTAACGGGGAAAATATGGTAAAGCAAAATAGCTTTGTGAATTCTAAATTTTCTAGGATATCACAAGTAATATTTGATTTTACAACAATGGTTTAAGAGCAAGTTTCAAAGTTATCTATGACATTACTACTTTTTATTCAAAAGATTTTAGAACTGATTCATTTACTAGAAAGAATAAGTGTTATAAATACATTGCCGAAAATCTTTGAAAATATGATTTCTGTTAATATGAATCTTATTTTAAAAGCAGAGATAATATTAAAAAAAGTCTACTGTTCATTTTTTTTGTTTGTTTTTTTGAGTAAACTATCTTGTTAGATGCCGTCAAGTCGGTTCTCACTCACAGCAACCCTATCTACAACAGAACGATACACTGCCTGGTCCTGTGCCATCATCACAATCATTGTTATACTTGAGGCCTTGTTGCAGCCACTGTGTTAACCCATCTCATCGAGGGTCCTCCTCTTTTTTGTTGACACTCTACTTTACCAAGCATGATGTCCTTCTCCAGAGACTGGTCCCTCCTGATAACACGTCCAAAGTACATAAGACAAAGTCTCACCATCTTTGCTTCTAAGGAGCTGTCTTACTTATCTAGTGCTGCTGTAACAGAAATACCATACGTGGATGGCTTTAACAAACAGAACTTTATTCTCTCAGTTTAGGAGACTAGAAGTTTGAATTCAGGGACCCACCTCCCAGGGAAGACTCTCTCTCTCTGTCAGTTCCTGGGGAAGATCCTTGTCATCAATCTTCCCATGGTCTAGGAGCTTCTCAATGCAGGGATCCCCAGGTCCAAAAGATGCACTCCACTCTGGTGCTTCTTTCTTGGTGGAATGAGGTCCCCTATCTCCCTGCTCGCTTCTCTCTCCTTTTATCTCTTGTAAAATAAGAGGTGACGCAGGCCACACCCCAGGGAAACTCCCCTTATATTGGATGAGGGCTGTGACCTGAGTAAGGGTGTTGCATCCCACCCCAATCCTCTTTAACATAACCTAATCTTGCCTCATTAACCACAGGCAGAGATTAGGATTTACAACACATAGGAAAACTATATCAAATCACAAAATAGAGGACACAATACTGGGAATCATGGCCTACACAAGCTGATGCATTTTTGGGGGACACAATTCAATCCATGACACTCCACCCTTTGGTCCCTCAAAACTCATGTCCCTGTCACATGTAAAACACTTTCATCCCATAATATCATCCCAAAAGTCTTAAATCAACTCCATGTCCAAATTCCATCCTGGGGCAAAATTCCTCACCTGTGAAATCTAGAGTACAAGTTATCAGCTTCCAAAATACAACACTGGAACAGGCATCAGCTAGCCATTTCCATTACAAACGGCAGAACCTGGAGGGAAAGAAGGGATAACAGGTACCGAGCAAGACAGGAGAACCCATTACATTACCTCTCAAGGCTTGAAAATAATCCTCTGTTGTCTGAGACCATTTAGACAATGGCCCTGCTTTCCAGACTCTGGGTGTTGAACACTTTCCAGATTCTGGGTGGAGGCTCCTCAGCCCCAGGCTTCAGTTACGCCTTGTGAATCCACTGGAAAGGCAACTCTGCTGCCTCGGCTTTAGGCAGCTACATTCTCCTAGTCCAACTGAGTGGCAGACTCCAACCCCTCAGCCCCAGAAGGCCCCATTCTTCTGCCCCTTGGGTATGGCAACCTCAGCCCTTCACCTTTGGGCAGTGGAGTTAGCCTCATTCCACTGGCACTCGTGAAAGGCAGCCCCGCACTCCAGAACCAAATTGGTGAAGATCTGACTCTTTCAAACCTAGGAGTCTGTGGCTCCGCCCTTTGAGATCCCAGAGGTTGTGGCCCTACCCTTTGAGACTGAGACAACTCTGCTTCGTGTGTTCCTCGTCTCTTCAGCTTCTGCTTCCTGGTTCCTTGGCCTCTCTGCCTTTCGGGTCGTTGGTCCAGCCCGGCCCTCTGCCCTGCAAGTGTTCCAAAGCTCTTCAGCTCTACCTATAAGTCCCTGGAGGCACCTCACTCCACCAGTAAACCTCGGCCAGAAGGCACTCAGCTCTCTTGCTCTATGGGTTGGCAAGCCTAGTTCCACTGATTCAGTGTCCAGAGACACCCCACTTCACCAGGAAGCCTCCTGAGCCAAGGCACTCAGCTCTCTCACTCCATGGGTCGGCTCCAGTGCCATCTCACACTGGTCTCCGGGTTCTCCTGTTCCTTCTCGCTGTCTGTGCTGTCTCCATTGTTACAGCTCTCGTCACTTCCTTCTAAGTCCTGAATTGTCTTTGATGTCCATAACTCCACCAACAGTCTCTTCAAGCCAATCTTGGCTTTTACTATTAAGCACTTTAATACTCGTCCAGCTTCCACCCATTACTCAATTCGAAAACTGCTTCCACATTCTAGGTATCCGTGAAAGCAGCACCCCACTCTCCTGGTACCAAGTTGTCTCAGTTATTTAGTGCTGGTGTAACAGAAATATCACAATTGGATGGCTTTAACAAACAGAAGTTTATTTTCTCACAGCTGAGGAGTCTAGAAGTCCAAATTCAGGGCACCAGCTCTAGGGAAAGTTTTCTCTCTCTGTCAGCTCTAGTGGAAGATCCTTGTCATTGATCTTCCTCTGGCACAGGGGCTTCTCAGCACAGGGACCCATGTTACCAAGAATGAAGAGACAGGAGGGGAGTGCATCCTTTGGACCTGGGGTCGCTGTGCTGAGAAGCTCCTAGAGCAGGGGATGACAAATGACAAGGACTTTCCTCCAGAGCCGACAGAGAAAGCCTTACCCTACATCTGGCGCCCTGCATTCAGACTTCTAGCCTTCTAAGCTACGAGAGAATAAACGTCTGTTTGTTAAAACCATTCCCTTGTGTATTTCTGTTACAGCAGTACTAGACAACCAGGACAGGAACATTCCAGCTGTACTTCTCCCAAGATACGTTTGTTTGTTCTTCTGGCAGTCCATGGTATTTTCAATATTCTTCGCCAACACCGTAATTCAAAGGCATAAATTCTTCTTCAGTCCTCCTTGTTCACTGTCCAGCTTTCGCATGCATATGAAGTGACTGAAAATACCATGGCTTGGGTCAGGCGCACCTTCGTCTCAAAGTGACATCTTTGCATTTCAACACTTTAATAAGGTCTTTTGCAGCAGATTGCCCAGTGCAACACGTTGTTTGATTTCTTGACTGCTGCTTCCATGGGTGTTGATTGTGGATCCAAGTAAAATGAAATTTTTTTTTTTTAATTGTAATTCAGGTGAAGATTTACAGAACAAATAGTTCCTCACTAAACAGTAGTACACATATTGTTTTATGACATTGATTAACAACGCCACGACATGTCAACCCTCTCCCTTCTTGACTTTTTTTTTTTTTTCTGGTGAAAATATACATAGCCAAAGATACACCATTTCAAAAGTTTCTACATGCACAGTTCAGTGACATCAACTACGCTCTTCCAATTGTGCTGCTATTCTCACTTTAGATGAAGGTT